CTATGTCATCAAAAAGATTTATGATATTGCTCACTGTGAACCAACGTCTCATATTAGGCAGGTGTTAGATCAAAAAAACCACAAATGTCTGTCAGGACGTTTGTTCATGGGCAGGACAGACACAGTTTGCCAAGACATTGAGAATGAGGCCTTTGAGAAAGGTGGTCTAAAGGACCACCTACCCAGGTACTAAGTGCTTTAAAATTGCACATCAATTTGTCTGAACCCAGACTTCTCACACAGGCAAGTTCTCTGTGACGTTTTTCTGAAGCTGCAGAGTGTTAACTTCATGCAAGTTAATGAGGGAAAAAAGTGCATGATGTATTCTTCTAACTTATTAATTACCGATACCATAGTTGCAAAGAATTCCTTGTGTGCTATTAAGGATTCTTGGAGTATATCACTTCCAAAATAGACTTAACCTATGCAAATAATGCATACAGTATGTCTTGTGTTTCAGAAACAAGCTCCAAGTCATGGTCACTTTACCAAAAGGCACTATAAATGCAGTTTTAATGAGAAATCTTGCAAATCTAATTGCAAACATTGGTTTTAGTTAGGTGACCCAAAATGCCTAAGGCTTAGAGTACTTCAACTTTCAGCTGAAACTACAAGTACAAATTTAAAGAAAAAAAAATTAAAGTTATTATCAGAGTAAGATGAGCTCCCAGCTCTTTTTTAATCATGAATGCTTAAAGATTTGCTTTGACAAATTTCTGAAGTACTTTCAAGTAAGTAAATACATTAGTAGGTGCCTTAAAGATTACAGTAACCTTACCATAACTGGATAGTAAAATAATACGGCTAACTGATTCGTAGATAACTCTACAGAAAAATGGCACTCAAATTGCCATCTTCACAGACACTTTGCAAGATAGTCTGATTTTTTCATTTAACTCCATGTAACAGGAACCAGGATTTACTGGTTGAAGTTAGCACCATCAACAGATTCATGAAGAACACCGAGCACACATGAATCTTCTGGCATCCTGAATAAATTTTCTGTGCTATAGGCTGCTGCACTTTCACAGCAGTTTTTCAGGACGTACAGGAGGACTATACGAGCGCCTTTTTCAGAGGTGTACACTAGATGGCCAATGGCACTTGAAGGTCTATTAAAAAGCCTGTACATGTTAAAGAGCTTAGTTGTTGGAAGGGGAAGGGGGCCAGGGGATCTGTTTAGAAACAAAGTTACTTATTTTTTTTTAAATGATCCACCTTCTACTCTGCTTTCCAGGTACTTGTCCAACTCTGCCTCTCTTTTCACCGCCTCTGGCGATACCTTTGGTGCGTTCGGAAAACAGATCAATATCACACTCATGTTGTCTCGACTTCCCTGGTGGAAAAGAAGAAAAATTATTTGAGAATATATATGCACCAGGCTAAATAAAGACCAAAGCATTTTACACACAAGATTTCACAAATTTCTTGGTATTAGAATACAACTTTTACTGCTATGGATTAGTATTATTAATTAATTTCCCCTCGCCCCCTGGCAGAATTCCAGAAGTCTGCCCGTTCATTCAGTACGATTTTTAAGTCACTTTGTTCTCTCCTGTTTTATGCTCCAAAGACTACATGGAGCCAGTTACAGACAGTCCATTGTTTTTTAAAAAATTACATTACTAATGAGAGATGAGTATTTACAAACTTGTACTAGCCAATCATTTTGGGAAACCAGCTAAGTATTAGCTGGGTAAACAAAACCCTTGCTGCCTAAAAGCGCTATGTAGGAAGGTGCTGAATTCAGACAGTGCTTCCACCTAAAATCACAGCTATTAGTTTCCACACCCCCCCTTTTAAAACAAGAAAAAGTGACAAGTGAGAGAATCTGTTAAAAAGACCAGCTGGAAAGTGGCCAGGCCTTTCCACAAGCATTCTCTGAAATGGAAATGTTCAAAACTCCAAATAAATAGAACCCTAATATGTGAATATGTTAAAACACAAACACTTTCTGCTTATGAAAAATAGCTGTTTAGTTTACTTCCTATACCCCTGTGCTCTGGTCTTACAAACGTGCATCCACATGCTTAACTTTTGACAACAGTTAAATCCACTGAAGTCAGCAAGATCAAGAGCAAGTCAGTGTTTAAAACAAGAGTATATGGGCATTTGGGGAGGTGCTGACAGTTGGCTACTGCAAAGCTTACAGCATCCACAAGCCACTGTTCCTTCCCTGGTATTTGTTTTCAGGATTACCAGACAAATATTGTAAACAAAAATACAAGAGTTATCCATCTGCCATAGTGCTGGAAAGCAATTACCCTTTTCCAAAAGGGAAACAATGGTCTTGTTAGTCATGTGGCAAGAGCAGAGATGCTGAGTTGTCTCTTTAGTATCAAAAAACGTTTGCTTTTTACATTATGACTTATAGCTTGCTTTTGGAAAATTGTCAAGCTATGAAACTCAGTATTTCAAACCACTCTGTAACTGCACCATCCTGCAACTTATTAATACAAAGTAGAAGCTTTGTATTTTGTAGGCAAAATTATACAAGTTTGTTAAACAAAACAGTCCCATCCTTCTGCTTGAGTTAGTTTCAGAGCTGTATCACACAACACTGAGTAAGAAATGCAGTAATTGAACCAGAATAAGAACTAAATTTGGAAATCAGATCTTCATATAGCTGAAAAGAAATTTTGAACTGCAAAATAAGAAGTCAAGGCTCATTCACTCTGCATATATCTTGGTGTAATTATGACATGAACGTTACTACTAGATGCCCAAGAAAGGAGGGCAAGATTAGGAAGGGAAAGAATATTCCCGAGCCTGATTATGTGTTAAGAGTAAAGGTTTTGTGAAGTTATGTTGTGAAACATAAAAGGGCAGTTATCATCCTTGGCTTGACCATTAATTTCCTTTGGCTTCTAGCTTCCCAGTGATCACAACATATCTGTAAATGATTTTAAACTCTTCATTAACCAAAACCACACAGAAAGCCATACTGTTTGTTGTGTGTTCATTCCCCTCCCATCACGACTTTTGTGGGATCATGGTAATCACTGTCAAAGCCATGGCAGCATAAACCATTAGATACTTTTAGACCGGAATCAAAGCTTATTCTTAACTTGTTGATAAACTTCTAATAATGAAAGCACAGTAAATTTCCCCTCTCAAGTCTGGCTACCTTGTACAAGCAGGTGTCAACTATCTCATTGCAAACTTTCTCAAGGTCATCAGTGACTTCAAGTCTGGATCTTACAAAGTCACACAGCTCTTCATTTCCCATAACATCCCAGATACCGTCACAAGCCAGGATGATGAACTGATCATCTTCTTCTGATCTCTCAATTTCATAAACTTCAGGCTCAGGTGAGACTAGCTGTTCTGTAGGACCTTTCCCATGGACACATTTGTAATCAAAGTCCCCGAGTGCCCTTGAAACAGCAAGGGAGCCATTCACACGCTGAATCATTACAGAGCCACCTGCATTCTGTATTCGTTCTTTCTCCAGTGGGTTACTTGGTTTGTGATCCTGCGTGAAGAAGTGAACCTTCCTGTTTCTACAAAGTAAACCTCTCGAGTCTCCGCAGTTGATGAAGTATGTATGTTGGGGAGAAATCATGACACCCACAGCTGTTGACCCACTTCTGTCTGCACCATGTTTCTTCTCAGAGATGATTCTCATGTGTTCATCAATTTGCAGAAAACCTGTTCTGATGCCGCTCTTTACACTTTCCACAGATGGTGGCCCATCTGGCCCTTTAAAATCCTGGTTGCTCGTGATGTGATCTAATAAGTGCTCACAGCAGTACTTGGCAACCTGTGATCCAGCGTGCCCGTCATATACAGCAAAAAATGACCATCCATCAAGTCCATTTGGCAAACCAATCACAGCCGTGTGCGCATCCTCCATCTCAACTCGCCAGCCTTGCATACTACTCAGACCATAACGAAGTCCATTCCCTTGCCCCTGGGCATTATGTTTCTCCATCTTTGGCTTGTCTAAAAATGCTCCCATGATGACTTTCCTTCAGTTCTAAAAAGAAAAAAAGGGTCAAGGTATTTCTTAAACATCTCTTATTTAAGCATCCTATTGGAAACTATTAAACAACCCACATAATGTTAAGCTGACAAAAATAAACAGATATAAAGCTGACTTTTCTGTGTCTCGAGTCAAATTTGTATTGCTTTCATTTAATTTAAACAAGGACACTGCTACTGGCTGAACTGTACTTTTCATATTTTTGTAAGTATTTTTGTCTTTTTTACTTGAAGAACTTCTGTTCCACCATTCATCATTCAAAGCCTCCAGTACAAGTACGTATGAAATTAGCTTGGAAGAGGACTTGTTGACTGGCACACATCTGAATAGGTCCGTTCCCTGGATTACTGAGCTAGGGAAGCAATTTAGTGTTTCTAAGACAGTGACATTCCCTAGATCTCTACCTGCTGACCACAAAGTCCTGCTCACACTCTGCTTTTCCAATGGTGATGAGGAAACAAAAGCAAACTGCTTAGGTTTTCTTTTGGGAAGAAGGAGGTTTGAGGTTTATTATTTGGGCTTTTTTGGGTTTCGTTTTTAACTGAATGACCAAGACGGTGCCAGAGTCTGCATAAAGGAAACACTGGGTAACTAGGAGCAGGCCTCGGAAGGGACAGAGCAGCTGTCCCTCTAGGCAGCAGCAAGCCAGTAGTTTGGCTCACCCATCTTGTGAAAGCTCATCCCTAGATTTTCAGTTAAATTATGCCGCAAGCTTCTCAGGTATCTGTGCTGAAGATTTACTTAAAACCTTTATGTATTCATGCGTCACTGAAAAACAACTGCCCCTGAGAAGTCTAAGGAAATCTGTTTGGAAATGAAATCAGAAGTACTGTATATTTGTGTTTCCTTCTTCACGCCAGACCCACACACTGCACACCCAGCCCCCTCTGCCTCCCACTGCTGGGATGTGATGCAGCAAATATTCATGCTTAAGAGAGTAAGAATTGTATTCTGCAGGCAGCGTAAACTGACTGGTTTATCTTCATGGCTTTCACACCCTAACCATCCAATCCACCCTTCTAATCCTCATCAGTTTGTTTGTGCATTCATTATTTAAAAAAAAAAAAAATCATACAAAATAGGTCACACATTTTACATACTTGCAAATTCTATGCTGGGAAGCATCAAGGAGTGTGCAAATCACTGTTATACAATGCAAGGTAATGGAACAAGTCTATGAAATGAACTGTGAGAAGAGACTCCCAACAGATTTTACCTGAGGCCCCAACTAAGCAGCTGCACTAGCAGAAAAGTTAGCACACATGGGGTTTTGGAACGTTTTCACTTGTATGTGGAACGCATTCAGTCACTCTCTAAGTCATAACATCAATTTTAGATAACGTGCTTTTATTGCAATACAGCTCCAGCTGTAAGTGACACTATATATCCAGCAAAGCTTTTCATATTGAGTCTTCCAGCCACTACCAACCTTTCTAAAGCATCTGTATATGTTAGAATAAACAGTCAAGAAATGTTTACATTTCATCTCACCACAACAGTGACTCAAATGTGAGCCACAGGGACTGATACACACTCTTTGGCTCACATGCTTTGTTAACAGAACCAAAAGCCACCCATGCTTCAGCTGCAGGGAGAGGTGGCAGCAGCAGTACACCTCTACTTCCTCTCACCCCAACCCCTGCTCTTCAGTTCTGTCTCTTCTTTAAGCGTATGCAAAATATTGATGCCCATGCAAACCCTAACTAGCCAGCAAAATACAGCATACACTGATCTTTTATCGTAAGCACACGAGGTTCACATTACTGCAGCTGCTAGGAAAAAAAACAGGACTTAAGACTTTATCTTCACGTGCAACTCTAGTAAATCAGTGACGCAAATAATTACAGAATGCTGCCATAAATCAAATGGGCACTTACTGCGCAGAATAACAGGCTTTTTTAATTCATTCCATGATAGCAGCAGTTTATAAACTAACACCCAACCCTTTCTTATTGTTGAAGAGATAAAATAGAATGCAGATATTAAATTATTTCACCTTAGAGCTCAAAAAGCAGAAACTGCCCCTGCAAACACCACATTTTTGTAAAGTATTTTACATTATTACTGTGTCTAAACCAAAACAAAACAGAAAAGCATTAAGAACAGGATACAACTGTATTGACCACAAGCACTGTCAAATTTGGCCTAAAAGGGCAGTTTTCCTTGTCTCGCATTACTAGGTACACAATATCCAGACAGAATTGTGCTTTGTAAGCTGTTGGCCTCAGCAGCTGGTCATGTAAACCACAATTAAGAATACAGACAGACAGGTCATACACAGTTCTAGCAACTCATACAGAACTGCTGCCACACTTCAGAAATTAAAAACTCCACTCTCCATTTAAAATCAAGTTTATCTTCTAAACTGAAAGTTGTTGCTACTCTAAATTAAGCCTTGTAGGTGAGATGTTGGCACATGATTCTTCAAGGGCGCAAGCTACCCACCACAGATGCGAAAACAACCAGGCAGAAGGACAACCACAATGTGGTCACGTAACTTCTACTCAGGAAATTATTCATAGCCCATAGCATCAAGTAGACCCATTCTGAGAACAGCACTAACAGTCTGCAGTTGCCTGCCTTGCAACACTCTAGCTAGTCATCCATCCTTCCACCAGGACGCTAGCCTGAACCTGTACAAGAAAAGGCCCGTCTGCAAGCCTTCGCTGGACCTGAAGGGAAAGCACAGTTTACCTGTGGACAGGATGAACATGCCACGCCTGCAGTTCTTCCAGAATTTCAATTCTTGTTTAGAAGAACAGTCTGAATTTAATGACCAACCTGTGAATTCTTATGGATCAGACACTACCTGCTACTTCTCCCCTCACATCCCTGTTTGTAGCTAAAAACTGAAGAATTTAAAGAGTCTCAGTTATTAAAGTTTTAAAACAAGGGATGTACACACACAACCTTTTTAGGGTGACATAAGAAAGCTGTGCCTCCTTCCTGCTAAAAGCATCTTTCAGCCCTGTTTTTGAGTTCCTCTCTATGGAAACACCTCTCACTCGTCAGTGTCACCGGGGGCTGGCCCAGGGTGCTCCGCACACACGGCAGGCAACAAGGCAGCGCACTCTGCACATGGGTTAACTCGGCCCTCTCTTACATTCCTTTAATCATCTTCTCAAACAGGAGTCCTCATCTTATGAACCTTATTCTCCAAATAATTTTACTACCTTTGCCCTTCTTAACCTAGTCACACGCTTCTACAATCATGGTATTATAATCATGGTAATATAAGCATGGTGTAATCTCTCATAGCTGGAGACAGAACCAGTTCTCTACTCTGGAAGCCTCAACTTTCAGGATGTTCCATCAACACACACACATGCTAAAGGAGACAGACATTCTTTCCATTCCAATTAAAGCCAAAGTAAGCAAAAATAGTTTAATTATGAAGCTTAGTGGCAAATGTACACCAAATTTTTTTTTTTTTTTCTTAGAGAAGGGCAACTCTGAACAGTACTATAACAGCAATGCCCCGTAAAACGATCAGAGGTGCAACATTTTCTTCAGAAATGGTAACTCTAGAACATCATCTGGCATTGCAAGTGCCACAATGATTAGTCAAGCAAAATTCAGTTTTAACCTCAGGTGACTCTTGGTTCACAATCTCCCCGTCAGTGGCTTCCGTTAATTTCTCCTAAAAGAGAAAAGCTTTCTGCAGTCAAAGTTCCTGAGTGTCAGTTCTGAAGAGAGGCTTCAGAACAAAACTAAATGTGAAAATGGACTACTATGCCTAAAAATGAATATGTGGAGGATGCATCTATGAATGCATCTAAACCACGACTTCCAAAATGCTGATTTTGTGGAGGTCAAACTGAAGGACAGCCTCTCGAGCAAGTGCATGAAAAACTCAAGTTACAGTTTGCAGACAGAAAAGTAAGGATACTGTACAGGGCCTAGAAAAATCAACACAAGTAACAAATCTTGGATAAAACACAGCACTACCAAAATTCAAAGGACTGCAGCATTAGAAAGAAAACTGAAATAATGGAGCATGCCAAAGAGTCAGTAGCTAAACTCCTTGAGAATAAATGCAACTGGAGAACAGAGTGGCAAAGAAAAAGAGGGTAATTAGTATACCAAACCATGGACAGCCATGGACAACCGCAGATACGCCACTGGAATGCATGAAATCTCTTTGCCCTTTCATTTGTCCCTCAAATTGTGCTATCCACACAGCACAGCTATAATGCCTTCTGATACACACTCAAATAAATTTTACTGTTTTGCTATTTGCTTATTCATTTGCTTGAAGGTCCAAATGAATTAAGGCTTTTATTGTTCACAAAGGACAGTTAATGTAACTCCATATTCGCCTGTAAAAATAGTTTCTTTATTCGAGGAATTCAGGCAAGGATTTAATAATTTTGTCCAAGAAAACTGACCAGCTCTGTCTGAAACTTGTATTTTAACAATAAGTAATTTAATAATCTTTTCAAAACAATGTTCGAGTTGTACTCCTTCCACTAGGATAAGCTGCTTATATACACCACACTGAAGTCACAGGCACTTGTTCCAACTCAGCTGAGAAATGTCCCCATACTCCACTTCCCTGGAACAATTCTCCAAGCGACGTTACGCCCTGTGTGTTGTAATGAGCACGATAAAGAAAGATTACAACCTCTACTTGAACTACAGGCCAGAGCCAGTCACCAAATTATGCGGCCTGCTACTGAATAAAAAAAGGAGCATTTGGACACTTCAGCTCCAGTCTGATCTGTGGCACTTCTCCCCCTGCCTTAAGCAGGCTGGATGCAGTAACCAGCATGTAATTGTGCAAATGTGGAAACGCTGTCAGAAGTTAGCGCCTGTTGAGTGAAAAACTGACAGTACACACTGGATGCCCCAAATCAATTAATGTTAACAAACGACATGTCAGAGATCATCCCAGGGATCGGAAGGAGGACTAAAATAGAACACGCAGATGAGGAGACATAATTACACCACAGTCATGGGCTGAATGAAGTCATGAAAAAGCTTCTTGCC